TATTGTTGTTGTTGTTGTTGTTGTTGTTGTTGTTGTTGTTGTTGTTTTTGTTGGTGCTGGTGCTGGTGCTGGTGCTGTTGCTGGTGCTGTTGCTGTTGCTGTTGCTGTTGCTGTTGTTGTTGTTGTTGTTGTTGTTGTTGTTGTTGTTGTTGTTGTTGTTGTTGTTGTTGTTGTTGTTGTTGTTGTTGTTGTTGTTGTTGTTGTTGTTGGTTGTTGTTGGTTGTTGTTGGTTGTTGTTGGTTGTTGTTGGTTGTTGTTGGTTGTTGTTGTTGTTGTTGTTGTTGTTGTTGTTGTTGTTGTTGTTGTTGTTGTTGTTGTTGCTGTCAAAGCACATGTTTTTTGCAGTTGTCATGCTTTGACAGCTGCTTGGAGCATGGTCTTTGGAGAGATTGGCTTGCCACTTTGTTTAGCTAGTACGCATGTGCGACAATTACTGTATTGAATAGAGGTCACCTGTTTGTCGGCGCAGTCAAGCACCTGCAGCAGGCTGCAGCGGCGGAGACATACGAGCTGCGCGCAGGAGGCGTCACTTTTGAGACCCCTATACTCCAAGCTGATTCAGCAATGATCACTAGCAGAAATTGTTTTTGCGCAGCTGCTGGGAAGCGAAGTGGCAGCTGAAGCAGGTGTGGCAGTGATTTGCTTTCTGAGTGACTGCAGCCAGGCTGAAAAGCCTCAGCAGCCAGATGCACCTGATGGTGTTGGGGTGCTGAGTTGGGTGTGTTTGTTCGCAGAAGGGACTCATGATGATTGCAGTCAACATCTTTAAAGCCAAATCCACATCGCGCCTGCGTTGAGATGCTAAATCTCTTGCACACCTGCAGCTGTCCGTTACTCAGGTCATCGATGAAGTTGAATATCTCTTTGCCAATTCCAAAGAGGACGAGGCTTGGGCAGATTCAATCTGATGTTCATCCCTACCTCCCGCCAGCGTAGACGCTGCCGAACAACCACTATCTCGCCAACAAATAAACAAGAACTCGCAACAAGATGAACGCCGCTTTTCCAAGAACTTGAGCCGCACGCACACCTCTCTTTTATGCATAGCCAATATGTATATAAACAAATACATATAAAGGGTCACCCCCCTCAGGGCAGAAGAGACTTATTTGCAGATTTTCTTGGGTGCAGGATGCCTTGCTGGAAACACGGGAATTTACAGTGTTTTGTGAGTTTGTTTATATTGTGCTAGATGTTGTTTGCGTGCCCAATTTTATTCATTTTTTGGGTATTCTTGGAGCCTCTGCAGTTTTAGAGCTTTCAACTTTGGACTTTTTGCATGTTTTTGAGGTTGTGCAGGTTTAGAGCATAAATTGGGCGCTTAAAACGTGCACTGGCTCAAACTAAAGCACAAATCCAAGGCTGAAAGCTCTAAAACCGGCACAGGCTCAAGAATGCAAAACATGCAAAACCCATGCAATGTCAGAGGTCAGGGCTTGATTGCCCCAATTTTTACGCACTTCCTTGCTTAAACCATGCACAGGCTCAAAAACTGCAAGAAGTGAGTTCTCAAAGCATGCACAGGCTCCGCCAAATGCAAAAATATAGAGCTGAAAGATCCAAAACCTGCACAGGCTCAGACGCATGCTGAAAATGCAGTGGAAGACTTGTGATCTTAACCTTGAATCTTAAATGCGGGATCGGGTTTCTTCTTCTTATCAAATTCTGTTTAAACTCTAGTTGAATTGTGAAGTTCTATTAGGAAATGAATACTTCCTAATTTAGAAAATGATACACAGTCTGCGTCAGTGTGCCTTGTCACTTGTAATGTCGACTTCATATTAATAAACGGGGCCCCTCCCCCAACTGTTATATTTTTCTTCTGTTTTCGGCAAAGTACCGGAATAAAAAAAACAATTGTACTTGTAATATTGCTTCTAGTACTGTAGTACTTGTAGTAGTAGCTGTAGTACTTGTAGTAGTCCTTGTAGTACTGCTTTTAGTACTTGTGGTACTCGTAGTAGTGGCTGTAGTACTTGTAGTAGTACTTGTGCTGCTTCTAGTATTTGTAGTACTTGTAGTAGTGGCTGTAGTAGTACTGCTCCTAGTACTTGTAGTACCTGCATACTTTTGAATCATTTGGACTGGTTTGCTCCCTGATACAAAAAAAACAACTTGTTTGGCTCGCCCCCGCGTTTTGGGGAATGTTATTTATCTGAGTTTTTTGGGTGGATTATTAATGTTGTGCTTTGGAGGGTCGACTTGGGGAGGCGGTGTTGTATGTTTGCGAATAACTTTTGAATTAGCCCCTTCTTAATTGAACATAGATTGACATTACGGGCCCTGGTGAGATGGTGGCACCTGTCACGGGTGGGGAGTCCGGGCAGCCATTGACTCCAAGTGGCGCTTTGCTATGACGCTTGCGGAGCAGGCATCGCCGGGAGGGAGGTGTTCCTTGGAGGGGCTCCCCCCGTCCTCACCGCCGCCACCACCACCACCACCACCACCACCACCACCACCACCACCACCACCACCAATTTGATACATACTGTTCAAGAGGATTCTGATCACATATTTCCTTATTGAGCTTCAATTGTTCTTTCAATTTCCACTGGTGGAGATGTCAATTGAATACGGACACCGTTGCAAACCACTGTGTTTTACTGTGTTTTCTGACCATAGTAATAGTAGGGAGTAAAAAACAGGAGTTTACGGCCTTTGAAGTCTTTCCTTATGATTATCTTTGAACTGTGCTAGGTCATCCTTATACATTTCTACTACATTTTCAACCCAAATTTATTTGAATGTAATCAGGACCAGCTCCATGTATAATTCTGTTTTTAAGTGTATTTCAAATATAACGATCATTATCTTTCAACTTACATGTTGCACACGATATCCTTTTCAATGGAGTTATTTTACAACTTGTTCAACAGTTTTGGGACCTCTGTTATGCTCAAATGTATGTTGGAACCACACAGACACACACACAGAGACACACGCACAGATACACATGCACAGACACACGCACACACACACACACAGACGCGCACGCAGATACACACACACACACAGAGACACACACACACAGACACAGACACACACACACAACACACACACAGACACACACACACCACACGCACACGCACACGCACACGCGCACGCACACGCACACGCCCACGCACACGCACACGCACGCGCACGCACACGCACACGCACACGCACACGCACACGCACACGCACACGCACACGCACACGCACACGCACGCGCACGCGCACGCGTACCCGCACCCGCACCCGCACCCGCACCCGCACCCGCACGCGCACCCGCACGCGCACGCGCACGCGCACGCACACGCACACGCACACGCGCAACACGCACACGCACACGCACACGCACACGCACACGCACACGCACGCGCACACGCACCCGCACCCGCATCCGCACGCGCACCCGCACGCGCACGCGCACGCGCACGCGCAGCGCGCACACGCGCACGGACACGCACACGCACACGCACACGCACATGCACACACACGCACACGCACACGCACACACACACACACACAGAGACACACACACACAGACACACACACACACAAAGACACACACACACACACGAACACACGAACCCACGCACCCATGAACCCACGAACCCACGAACCCACGAACCCACGAACCCACGCACGCTCGCACGCAGGCACGCACACTCACACACACGCACACGCACAGACACACGCTGGTGGAAAGGAGGAGGGGGGACGAAGAGCACACACGCACACGCACAGCACACAACACACAACACACAAAACAGAACACATAATATACGACACACAACACACACACACAACACACAAGACAGGACACACACAACACACAACACACACACAACAAAACACACAACACACAACACACAACACACAACACACAACACAAAACACACAACACACAACACACAACACACACACAACAAAGCACACAACAGACAGCACGCAGCACACAGCGCAAAGCACACCACACACAACACACAACACACAACACACAACACACAACACACAACACACAACACACAATACACAGACACACAACACACACAGCACATACACAAAGGACACAAACACACACACACACACACACTCCCACATCCCCACACCCTCACACCCCCACACCCTCAAACCCCCACACCCTCCGCCACACCCTCCGCCACACCCCCACGCCCACACGCCCACATGCCCACATGCCCACCCGTATTTTAGCTTTGCTTGAAGTGGGCGGTAGGCGTAATCCGTTCGCCACAGGAAGAAGCCATGTCGGAGGATGTGTTGCAGCGGGTGAACATGGTGACGAGGATCGGCTGTGGGGACACCTCGAAGCAGTTTGCAAAGCCTTGTGTTTCTTTCGACTGGTTTCCCTTAGTTCAGTCAATATGTACGTGTCACTTTCTCACACAAGCATACACAACCCCGGTCATCAGAAATCATCTTTTTGGAAGGCAGATGCACGCATGGTGAGCATGCCGCAGATAGCAAGTGCCAAGAATGTTTCGCAGGGCTCACCAGGGCCTGTACAAGGTGCCGCAGGTCGGACGTTGTTTCGATTTCTGAATACTTTGCCATCCTTGTGATGCTATCCCGTTTAACTAGGCTTTTCCTTTCTTTGGACAACCGCATCACTTTGTGATGTTGTGCAAAACTCACCTGGGTTTCCCCTGTGGTCATGGCTCCAGATTTTCAGAATGCGCCACACTGGCCGTTTGACAGGGCGTGCCAGACACCGAGCACGGCGTGGGTGCCATCACTGGCGCGCTGACCGCCTTTCCCACGGAGCATGTCTTCCAGGTGAGCAAGGGTGAACTTGTGACACATACAGCCATTCCGATGCCAAGTAGATCAAGACGATCGAGAATTGGGATCTTGTTTGCTACCATAAAGCCTTGCGACTATTCCTGGGGCAAAAGACATGTCATTGGCGTTCGCTCAGGTGTACAGTGGGGCATGATCTCAGTTTGCAGTGAGAAGGGATAGAGGGTAGGCGTACGTATTCAACACTGTAGCGGGGTCCTGTGCAGGGCCAGGACTCAAGCCTCACACATGCATTCGATCAGATTGCGAGAGGTCAGACAGTTGTTTGAAGTGAAAAGGGGTGCAGGCACATTCGGTTTGAATCGGGACCATTTCTGGGGCATTGGACAATGACAGAAGCTGTAGCCAGGTCGTGGGCAAAACGCCCAGCGATTCTGAGCGAGAGGAGTTCCTGTTGCAGGTGGCGAGAGAATGGGCTTTGAGGGCAGTTCCAATCAGCATAAAACAGTACTACGCTGATGCAAAGCCAGCCTTCAGCAGTTTGAGAGATGGAACACGAGAAAAAACAACCATAGACAAGGCGCAAGAACCTCCTATGGACTTCCATATGGCGGATAGGTTGCTTCTCAGTGCCCCACCTTGTTCGAATTGATGTCTCGCTCTCTGGCAAATTGAGCTTTGTCCAAACCAAGCAACTCCTTGAGACTCCTTGGCTTGTCTTCAAGGGGGAGTGCGAGTCTTTCATACTTTCCATACCGAAGACGTGCTTGAAAGCTCCCACACAGCTTGCCAGGTGCGTGGCGCTGTGCAGGCCTACACCGAGGAGCTCTCGGAGGAGGTGCCGGACAGTGTTGGAGTTGGGTCTTTGTGTTGAAATGCGGGTCAGTTTCTTCGCAGGCCTTTTAGATCCAGCACTTGCCAGTGAGTCTATTTTTTCTGTGTCCAAGCAGACCTTGCGGCAACTCAGCTGGCAGCGCCAACGCCTCAATCCATTCAACGATGAGTCGAAGGACGCGATACTGAAAGAATCCTAGTCTAACTTAATGATTTTTGCCGACGTCTCAACCCTCTCAGCTTACGTGTGCTTTCGCAGTTGCTAGCGCTTTTGCGGCTGCGGTGACAACCGAGTTGTGTTTATCAAGACGAGGGGCCAGTGGTGAGGCTGACATTGTTTGCACATTGTGCAAATCGGCCTCAACCCATGGTTTTGAAAGACATTTGGGGTGCCACTTCTTGAAGCACCACTCAAAAAGACCGGACACTCGCCGAGTCTTTGTTGACAGTGGCATCACAATAATCACGAAAGCAACCCTGGCGGGTCCATTTGAAAACCAATGAAGGCCAGCTGTTTTGTGCCGTGCTTGTTGGTATTCACAGTATTCACATGTTGCCATCTCTTGAAGGCCGTGTTGAATGTCTTGACACGCAGTGCTCTGCTGGCACCCTGTCAGGCGATGTCAGTGCAGCGCCGAATGGGCGGAAGGTACACCTCGGCACCCCATCGGCATTTTTGGCCTCAAAGCGTCCGAACCTGTGCCCATCGAAATATTTCACACGGACAGCACTTGCACGTGTGTAGATGTTACTCGTCAGAAAACTGGCAACATGACTGGATATTTGAACATAAGCTTTCCAGTCGAGTCATGGACAGCGTCATGGACGCCCAGGATCAAGGCAGCTCAGTACTAGTTTGATCGGCCATTGCCATGGCGTTTGGGATTGTTGAAAGAACAGCAGCCGTACGCCCAATTGCCTCACTGCCAATGAGACCTTTCAAACTCGTGGGTTTTCAGGAGCACTGGATAGAAGATTGATTGCTCACTAATCAGCCTAACGTTTGTGGCAGTGTTTGTTTGGTTTGTTTTGTTTTGTTTTCCCCGTTGTTTTCGGTGCAGCCCAAGGTGCGAGTGTGCCAGACCGTGCAGCTGCCCCAGCAGATCCCCGCGGTGCTGGGAGCCCTGAAGCGGCTGCCGCAGGTCTGGCTTGGAGGTCGAGCAAAAGCCCTTTGGGGTTTTGGGGGTTCCCCAACCGCCATTTTATGGGCTGGGGTCGGGGTCGCCCTTCGGGGCGGCTTCGATCTCGCTTGCGAATGTGTGGAGTAGGTGGTTCTACTGCCTGGTTTAACAAGGATTACACTCAGGGACATATAAATATAAACCTTTGTAACTATCTTAGAACCAAGAGTCAATGTTGGGCGTTGTCTGCCTGCCATGTGGAGTAGTTTTCGGCAGAACACGTCTTGCCAGGTGGTGATGTGCTTCTGATTTTCCACGCCGGCTGCAAAGTCTGGCCAGTCTTGGAAAGTTGCCTGGCTTGACAGGCATAGAAGGGTGCAAAGAAGCACCTCAATACAACGCCGCCAAGAGCAGCATTTCAACTTTTTGTTGTACTTTTCCTTTGGCCGGCCCCTGCTTGCGTGATTGCAGGGCCAGCTTTGAACCTTGGCACAGCTTCCCAGGTTTCTTTGTGGGTGAATGGGCAAATGTCAGTTGTTCCGACCAAGCACATACTTTTTGGCTATGGATACCTAGTTTTGCTTCTTGCCCCTTCCCACATATAGGCTTGCCGGTCACGTGCATCTCACAGCCTGTCAACCGTCCGGCACTTCGCCTCAACAGCCCCAAAGAAGCTGCACCGCTTGGCCGCGAAGCTGTGAGACCTGCGCAATTGGAGCGCAGAGACGCCAGACCGTTGGTTGTTTTGGTCCATTGGCTACATGTGGCTGTTCGGCCTTGTACTTGATTTTAACAGGTTGTAAAGCTTTGCATCAGCCGACAGTCGCCACAGAAAGCATGACATTGTGCTCGACGCAATTGGAAGGGACGCATCTTGAACAGTGGCCAGGCTTGACCGTCGTCTAGCTCGCCTGCAGCTTTCCCCGCAGGCAGGAAGCAGTTGATGCGCTAGGATCCTCACCCTTAAATTGGATGGAAATCAACACATTGCCGCTGCTTCGACATAGCTATTGTTGACGAGGAACGAGAGTGAGAACACTGCTGGATGCGGTCTACACACCATGAATGGAGCGGTCTGATTCGGGGAACATCCGTGTGATTCCATTCTGACAAGTGAAAGGGCAGGATGAGTGTTTAGCCGTACCTGATTGTCTCGCATCGCTACCGAATCTGAGGGTGTTGTGGCCCTTGTTTGGTTCCAGGAATTTCGAGTGGAATCTTTGGGCAAGACCCGCGTTTGAACATCTTGCCAAAGGCGCCCAGCGAGCTGGAGGATGACCCGCAGTCCGTTGTGGAGTCTGCCTGGCATTCCTTGCCCTGGAAGCGCGCGGGTCCTGAAGATTGACACGCGGGTCGTTCAGCTCTAAAGATTGCTTTGGCCGCAGCCTTCCCCTGCAAGAGCTCTCTGCCTGCAAACGAGTGCAACAACCAAGAGTCCTTTAATATGCGCAAGTTTATCGTTGTGTCACAGTTCCTTTTGTGTAGGCTTCACATATTTGGAGCAGGGTTGACTCAGTTGAAGCAGCCAGAACACAAGAGGTTCTCTGTTGCTCACACCGGCCAATGAAAATGGCAGAAGCCAGGTATGTTGCTGATATCTTCAGCAAGCTGGGCCGGGACGAGGACTGCTTGCTGCACTTGGACTACCTCCAGGCCGATCCCGCTCAATGTTTGGAGTGCAGGAAACAGCGTGGCTTTGGAGGGCACCCCAATTTGGACACTGAAGTTTTTCCATTCTCCTCTGGAATTGGTTTGGCTTGAGGTCAGGCTGCTTGGAACTTGTGGAGGATTCCTTCTCCCTGCACTCAGCGTGACTGACGATTTCATGACAAAGGACTCGCGTTCCCTTTGGAGACAGGGTTGTGCAACCCCTGCACAGCAACCTCTTTGGAGATGCCAGGCTGAGCGAAAACAGACAATTGGTCTGGGCAATGCGTTGGCGTTTCGATGCGGTGACCCTCTTTTGTGGTATTGTTTGCCGTACACTGCGCAGAGGGGCGCAATATCTGAATTGCAGTCTTAGTCTCAAAGCCGCCAACATCCATATGGCGGAGAGGCCAGATTGGAGGACGGGCTTGCACAGAGAGGCAATATGGCCATGGGGCATAACCTATGGCTCCATTTTGGGATGGATGAACATCCATTTGCCACCTAGTTTGATGTTCACCATTTGTACAGGGTTTTGACCCACAGCCATATAGATAGCACGAGAGAGGTACGTCAGGTGAGTCTGAGCGGCATGGAAGGGTCAGAGCACACAAACGCAGCAAAGTCAAGCAGATTGGGGCGCAGATGCTGCACATGCCATCCGCACAGCTGAGGCTGCCCATGGCGTGCTGGCTGATTCTGGCAGCGTTTGGTCTAGTTTCTGGAGAGGAGGCGCCGGTGTAGTGGGGTCTGGGGCATTGGAGCCAGTCTTGTCCTATCGCTTGGCAGGTCAGGCTGTGAACAGAGCCAAACCCTTTAGAGGCATTTGTGCTATATGCTTTCGTCATGCAACGTGCAAAGAAGCGCCGAGTTGGTCAGTCGGCAGAAGGAAGTCAGACAACTTTTCAGTTGCTGCCGTGTCCTGTGCAGGTCCAGCTAGTTTCAGGCGAATGCGAGGGCCAAGAGAAGGAGGTGGGTGCCTGCGATAAGACCTACCCCTGCGAGTCCTTGTGCCAGCCCAGAAATTGCCAGTTCGCCCAGTGGAGCGACTGGTTCTCCCTGGGGGGCTGCATCGGTCTCTGCTCAAGGCAGAGGGACGTGGTGCAGTCCAACAACGAGTGCGGCAGGCCATGCCTCGGTGCCAAGATTGAGACCGCACGCCACCCCGACTGCCTGCCGACCTCCTGCAGCATTCACCCCGCCAACTGCAAGTGGAGCACTTGGTCGCAGTGGAGCTACAACGAGGACCGTCCTGTGGCTTTCGGAAAATCCTTACCTCATTGGCCGAAAACCTTTGCAACGCGAAACCCGATGAAACCCGCAGGACGGCAGCAAGGTGGGCCAGTCCGTCAGGCACCGGCGCGTCATCAGCGAGGCGAAGGAGCGGATGTCGATTGCGTGTCTGAGCCGACTCTTAACAGAAACAAACAACAAAGAAACAACAAAGAAACAACGGGAGCAACGGGAACTTGGCAGGATGGCGGCTTTCCCTGCCTCGGCTTTTGGAATCAGACCCGGCCCTTCAACAAGCCCCAGACCACCGACTGCGTCTTTGGCCTGCCCCTTGCAGAGTCAAGTGCATGGCTTGGGCCTTTCCGTGTAAGGGATATGGTTCGTGTAAGGGATGTGTATTGGAGTGGAGCAGGGCAAATTCAAAAATGATATGGTGCTTTCAAAACAAAGGATCCTCATGTTGCATTGGGCAGCTTTTGCAGGGCGCGAGCAGGTCTTGAAAGAAAGGCCAGGCGAAGCCTAAAAAACAAGGCATTTTCACGAACAAACCATTTTGTGAACATTGGCTCCTCTGAATTGGAATGGATGAGAAGCAACCGGAAGACTGCTGGAAGACCCTGGACAGAACAATTTCCTTTCTCACTCCCATGGAAGCGCATGAATTTGGTACTGAGGTGGAGTGAGTGGACTCCCTGCACCGCCACCTGCGGGGGCGGTACTCGCTCCCAGCACCGGCGGGTGGCACAGCACGCCGCGGGCGGCCTGCCTTGCGTCGGCGCGCTGCGAGTCACGGAGTCCTGCAGCAAGCGCCCTTCCGAGGGAGGGAGGGAGCAATGAGAGGGGTAGGCGGGTAGGCTGAGATGCAGGAGAGGCAAAGGCAATTTCTTCACGTTCCAGTTCTCGTTGTGTCCCTTCAGGTACCCATGTGGTGAAGGGAAGCCGCCGATCTTCGCTCCATGGACCGAGTGGCGGGGGTGCGGTGGCCAGTGGCTCGGCCAGGGGCAAGGGTGCACGCATACTTTTCTAAGATATTGATCAATCGCCCAGCTAGATAAAGTGACCAACATTCTAGTTGTGCGACATGTGGAGCAATGTATTGAAGCATCTTCCTCACCAACCAGCAGATCCAGCGCCAATGTCAGGTATCCTGTCCAGCGCTTCCGGATGCGGAAAGTCGAGCAGGCTGCTACTGGGGACTACCGCCTGGATCCCACCATGGTGGCGGAGACAGCACCCTGCAAGGAGGAGCTGCCGGCATTCAAACAGCATTTTTTCTTGTTTTCTCGAAGCATTCGGACTGAATACGCGCAGGAGGCGCCCACCAAATGCATCGTGGCTCCCTGGACCACTTGGTCCGCTTGCAGCGCCACTTGCGGGGGACAACTGTCGAGGCCCTCCCAGGGGAGAGTTTGGTGCGGATGTCACAAGCCTCCAACAGAGCAGCACAAGAAGCAGTCATACTCAGCTCCAGTGATCTCATTTGGGGGTTGCGCATTGGCAATTTGGCTGCTTGTGACTTGCAGACTGATTCCTGCGAAGTATGTTGGAGCCACTAGCACAGCCAATGGCCACAAGTGGCCCATTCCAAGGCCACCGTATCCAGGATATCTCTGCAGTGACCAGGACCCGAGACATCGACTATTCCGGTTCCCCGAGCGACTGCACTCTGGACCTTGAGGACAAGAGCCTCTTTCTCAAGGAGTGACAGAAATTTGTGCCGTTGACAGCGCGCACTTTGCTTGAACAAGTTGCATTTTTTTTTGCATAATTTTGGCCTCAGGCGGGCTTTAAGCTTCCAGGAGACACGGGCCTGCGGCTCACAGCACTGTGTGGACGTCGTTGAGTCCCAGCTGCCCAGCATGCATGTGCCATCGGGGGCCTGGTCAGTTTGGTGAGGCTTCAAGTCATTCGCCGGTGACTAGAGTATACAGCAGATCGACCTTTGCTATCCCAAACCACAGTGTTGGCCCTGGATAGCAGAGGAGAACACAAAGGATTTCTGAACAGGTGTAATGGGGATCAGGCGTTTGTTGTGAAGTGTTTGGCGGATGACGATGTTCTAATTTGACAAAGGCTTGTTTCGGCCGTTCTCTTCTCTGAAGTGGACGGGCCGGCCAGCTTGCATCGGGAAGTGAATCCAGTGTCTAGCTTTATGGTGCTGGTTGTAAGCTTCTCATGCGATCTCGAAAGCAATCGCATGGATGGATACTTGTCCTTCAGTGGAGGGGGCGGCTGCTTTGGTGGGGCATGGGCAGAGTGTGGCTAAGGCTGTCGCAGTGGACGGAGTGGACTCAATGCAGCAAGGATCAGATCACCGATTCACCGGTCATCCCATTCATGCTCCAGGTAAAACTTTGGAGTCCAAAGGGGGAAGAATCCACTTTCTGATTTTCATGTGGCACTTTCTGATTTTTGCCTGTGGACGGTGGACGTAGCTCTTTGTCGGCAGGACTGTGGGCTGGGCACCACCAGCCGCAGCCGGAAGATTTTGCGTGAGGGCTCTGGCGGACTGGGCTCCGGCTTGGCGCTGCAGGAGGCGGCGCGCGCTTGGCCTTCCATCATCGTTGTAACGTGTGTTTATTTTTTTTGGGTGAGACATGTGTATGAGGGTATTGTTGTTTCGTTGTTTGTTTGGTTGTTTGTTTGGGTAGGTGTGTCGGGCCGTTTGTGGCTCTTTTGAGAAGGGTTTGCTTCGCGGAGCATGTGGGGAGCTGTGGTGGCCAGGTGAAGGGCTGCGTCTCACACCACTGTGGAGAGGTTGACTGCAGGTCGCTTGGCGAAATTCAGATTTCCAGAGAGTCAACGCAAGAGGCTGCAAGTTTGCAAGTGAATGGCATGTGTTATGTGTGTTTTAGGTGTTTTTGAGCTGGCAAGCACCTGGAAGCACCTGCAGTAGGAATAGTGTGGCATTTGCCTCCCTTGAGGTGGGACACATGGGAGCCTTGGAGTGCTTGCAGCTGCACTTGCGGGGGTGGCACGAAGCGCCGGAGTCGCGTCATCGCGCAGGCCGTTTTTTTTTTTCTTTGGGGGGGGGGGCAAGGAGGCAAACAAGGGAGCTGAAGACGAGCAGCCAGGGTCCAACGTCTCATGGGAAAACCAAAGACTCTTGTGGAGGGAGCTGCATCACAAGGCTCCCCGGCACGGCGGGCAGCTCTGCATGAGCGGCGACAAGTCTGAGGCGCGGGGCTGCTGGAGCTGACTGCTCCAATTCACCAGCCTCCAAATAATAGTAGAGTTGCCTTTTGGGACACCGTTGACGTTTGTCCTGAACGAGTTCTGTTGCAACTCAGGTGGCGCCGTGCAACGTGCAGAGCTGCAGCAAGTGCCGGGACGGGGCCTGGGGCGCGTGGGGCGAGTGGTCCAAGTGCACCGCCTCCTGCGGCGGCGGCTTCCGGGTGCGGCACCGCGACGTGATGCAGCGCCCCAACAGCTGCGGGCGCCCGGCCGTAGGACCGGGAAACGTCTCACGGGGAGACCGGGGAGACCGGGGAGACCGGGGAGACCGGGGAGACCGGGGAGACCGGGGAGACCGGGGAGACCGGGAGTTTGTGGAGAATGTCCCCCACATTTGGTCGCCTATCTCTACCTTGCGAAATGCTTGCAGGTTCTGTGTGTAAACGCCGCGAGACTTTTGCACGCCTTTGACATGCAAGGGCATGCGCGCACTTTGGAGTTGCAAGCACTCGCGCCAAGTCTTCAACTTGGACAGTGCTGTGCAAGTTAGATATGCGCAGGACTTGAAGACGAGTACCACATGTGCCACGACCTGGTGC